CACAGGTGTATGTCAATAGAGAGGCAAGGGAAGATAAGGGAAGTGGCTCCTTCTGGCAGACAGAAACCCTTTTCACAGGTTCCTGAAGAATGCTTGTGTAGGAACTCCGACCTATCACCTGGAATCCTTTTGCTTCTCCTCCAGCTGGAGTCTTTACTGTCATCCTGAACCTAGTCAGAGGGCCTGCTCTTGTGTGTGTGTGTGTGTGGGGGGGGTGTTTGGACCTGACAAATGCTTACTCACACAGAGTGTGCTGGTTCCCTACACAGCTGGTTCTCACTCACTAACCACGGTATTTTGTTACTTGTTTTTGTGGTGCTGGGATTGAACCGGACCCTTACACCAACTGAGTCACATCCCCAGCTGTCTTTATACTTTTTGAGATACAGTCTCACTAAGCTTCTCAGGCTGATCTTGAACTCACTAACCCGGCAGGTTTTGAACTTTTGGTCCTTCTACTCAGCTTCCTGAGTAGCTGAGGATACAGACATGCACTTCCAAATGCATTCTTCATAATTGTGTGTGTGTGTTTGTGTGTGTGTGTGTGTGTAGCCTGTATGCACTTGTTTGTGTATACACGTGTGGGTACAGGTGTACATGTGTGTAGAGGCCAAGGTCCATCAGTGTATGGTGTCTGTCTTGATTTCTTCCCGCCTTATTTTTGCGACCCTGACACACATTGCTTTGGAAAGGACGACTGACCAGCCAATGAATTTCAGGGATCTCCTTGTCTCCACCTGGTCCCCAGCATGAGGCATATAGGCATGTGCCTACACACCCAGTTTTTAAGTGGGTGCTGGGGATCCAAACCTGGGTCCTTAATGCTTGTGTATCTGGCCCTTTACTGACAGAACTGTTTCCCCAGCCTCATCTATGTTTTACTCCTAAAGGCAGAAAATACGCATGGGCCCCAAAATGTACTGGGGACCCCCAGAAGAAAGAAGCTGCTAGCCTTTTCTCAGATCCACAGGCAATGGAACTTTCCAGAGGCATCTAGGACTTGCCAGAGCTGAGTTCTGGGCAAGTTTTCTGTTCAAAGCTCTTCAACCCCAGGTTAAAGAGAGAAGTGAGTAGGCTCAAGTCATGGCATGCAGTAAGGCAGCCTGTGATAGCCAGGAGTGCTGTGGGCTAGCCTGAGCCCCCTGGCTCTGCCCAGGAATGTTAGAACACTGACACCAGCTCCGTTTTCTTTGTGGAAGACAGAGCCTCATATAGCCCAGACTGTCCTCGGACTCACTATGTAGGCCAATTGGACTTCTGCTCCTCCTGGGCTTACAGATGTGTGTCTTAGTTTGTAGTGTGACACTATTGCTTTCACAGGGTAAAGCAATTGTTCTATATCTTTCTACATACCTTGATCGGCCAATCATCTGGAACACTGGTTCTGAATGAGATGAGAATTCGCAAACACACTCACACCCATCCCCCACCAGAGACATTTCCGGCTGTCACTGTGGCGGGAGCAGGGCTGCCACTAGCAGCACGTAAACAAAGGCTGGACGTGCTGTTCAGTAGCCTCCTCCCCTGTCCTAATTCCACAGGAAAGACACAATGGGTGGGCCTCGGCCTATAGAGCTCCAGTGTAGAAACACGGGTTTATAGAGACTCTGACAAATCACAAACAAGGAGCCCAAGAAGGGCAATGATGCGCTGAAGACACAGGCAGGTGAACTACATATCAACCATCAGGCTCAGGGCTCCTTCCTGGCAGCTTCGTGTCGCTCTACTTCCGGGAATAGAGGTTACTTATAGCTCATATCTTGTTTTTGTCGGCTCTCCAAAGGCAGAAGGAGGTAGTCTGTGGTCAGGGAGGGGTATAAGCTGAGACTCTGACACCTGGCAGGTCCCTGCGGAGCTTAGCCAGGTCCCAGAGGCGACTAGGCTGCTCTTCTTTTAATCCAGGATAGCAGTGTGAGCCAGGGGTGGAGTAACCGTGAGCTTGGCAAGAGACAAGAGGAAGCAGGGAGACCCTTGATCCTCTGGGAAGACAAGAGTTCTCTCCAGTCCCCTACTTACAGCCACCTCTGCTGGTCGCCAGCAGTGAATGGCCAGATATAGGAAGCAGTGGAGGGTTGAGGGTGTGGAAGAGACAAAGTAATGGACTCCTAGAAGCTGTCAGGGTCCAGGCAGGTTTCCCAAACTGATCAGCAAAGTGGAACCAGGGGAAGGGTTGCCAAGGGCCGGCTCCAGGCCCTTTGATCCTGTGCCTCTGCAGCTGGTCTTGGTGCTCTGAATAAGATTCATCTGGGAAATGATAGGACCTAGGATCAAGGAGCCCATGAACAGGGGGCACCAGCACCTGATCTTCTGACTCAAGACCTGGGCCTCCTTTTGCATCTGGGTGCCAGTTAGCCAGATAATGGGACAAGCCTCCACCTCAAGCTTCTTGGCTAAGTGTCAATCAACACAAGCCCAGAGAGGCCCTTTGATGTCCCCGGGAGAAGCAGGCAGTAGAGCAGCGTTAGGCAGGCAGGAAGCTTTTTCTATGATGCAGGTTAAGGTGCTTGCTGGTTGTGGACAGAGAAAGCTGAAGGCAGGAAGAGCTGTCTTGAAGCCATAGCCAAGGCCAGACACCCTGTTTTGTTTCCAGATGCCTCTTTCTAGCCAAGTTAAAGAATGTTGCTGTGCTGTGTGCCAGGGTATGGGAGAGAGGCCAAGGGGAGGCTTAGAAGTCCATGTAAGACATGAGCTGAATGCTCCGAGGGTTGCCCATTCCCTCACTGGGCTGCTAGATCAACCTTGCTCATCCAGCAGTGTGACAAGCAGATGCTCTGAAGCCAGGCTCTGTCACTCCCTCTCTGTGTGGGGATCCCAGCATTCCGATGTTTAGCACATCATCCCCAAAAATGGCCCAAACACTGGTAGGTAGCATTTGTCGTGCCTGTGTATCTGTGGTCGAGCAGGGCTAGGTAGTAGGGGCAGTGTGGCAGGGCCAGCAGGCAGAAGTTATGTGTAAAGTTGCTTGCTGCTGTATTAGATTTTCTCAGCTGTCTCTATATATGACCTTTCTCCAGGGTTTCCCTAGCCAGAGGAAGTTCATTCCTCCTCCTTGGTTTGCTTAGGGTCCCATGTAGCTCAGACTGACTTTGATCTCACTGTGAACTGATCCTCCCAACTCCAGCCCCCAAATTCTTAGATTGCAGGTCTGTGCCACCATGCCAGCTTTATATGGGATAGGACCTAGGTTCTCCCATGAAAAGTTTTTACACCCTGATAAATCTCTCCACTGACACAATAATCCAAATCAGACCAAATCAAACCGAATTAGAAAAAGCCCAGGTTTAATGGATGCCAACACTCCCCAGTGACCTTCCAGGCCCTCAGAGAGGAAACAGGAAAGGAAGATCAGAAAATCATGTGTTTATTCTCTGGGGGTCAGTTTAAATACACTGTGGGTGTGGTCTTGAGCCTCTCTGGGGAGGGGTCACCGTTTGAGGGGCTTTGTAGGCGGTGGAGTCTGGACTGAGGCAACTCCCAGAGGAGGGGGCTTGGGATGGAACTTTTCACCCAAATATTCCAGACTTTTTTAGGATATATGGATGCCAGGGGTTGGGGTGATGCTTCCAACCAAACACCCCATGCCAGGCAACTACTCTACCGGCTGACCAACACCCCAGCTTGTAGCGCGAATTCTAATTGTTCTTAATAATAAAAACACAGAGTCAGATATCAGGGCAAATGTTGAAAGATCAGAGAAGTAAAGGAACCACTCACTAGAGAGACTTTTTAACCTCTACGAAATCCTCAGACCAAAGTGGGCAAGCTCTTGTCTCCATGAATCCTCAGACTGAATGGCTTGAACTCTTACTTCCTCTCACCTTATATTCCACTCTCTGCCCAATCATATCCCTTCCTGTCTCCACCTTTCTAGTGCTGGGATTAAAGACGTGTGACTCCCAAGTACTGGGATTAAAGGTGTGAGCCATCACTGCCTGGCCTCTATGGCTAACTAGTGGCTCACCCCACACTCTGATCCTCAGGCAAGCTTTATTTGTTATAGCACAAACAAAATATCACCGTACCAGCCCTAATTATTGTTTTTAAAGAGCACTATGAAGGAATTAACAAACATTTAAAATGGTCAGAGACACTTTAGGAAAATGATTTCATTCTCTGGGTTTTCTGTTACCATTGTTCTCTTCTGTAGAATTCTGTTAAGCCTGGGCCTCCCTCCTAACTGGGCTAGCTTTTGTTGAACCGAGCCAGCAACTTAAAGCTTTAAGACAGTATGAATTTGTTATCTTAATGTTCTTCTTTTCAGAAGTCCAACCTGGGCCTTTTTGGGACCAGAGTTAAGGAGTTTGCAAGGCTGGTTTCTCATCCCTTGCCAGGTTCTGGAGGCAGCTTGAACACCTTGGCCTTGGTCCTTCCTCCTGTTCAAAACTACCAACAGTCCACAAATTATCCTCAAAAGAAAATAAAATCCCTGACCTTCAGAACTAAGGGTCCTTGATAATGGGGGTCTATTCTGGAATTCTCATTCTTTGGCCAGTGTTAGGGATTGGATCTAATAACTTTCCCACTGAGCCACAATCCCCACCAAAAGCTTCCCTATTTTAAGATCAATACCTGGCCAATAGTTTAAGTTCCACGGGCACTTACACACACACACACACACACACACACACAGCCGCCAGGTATGTGTTCACAGATTCCCCTTAGAGGGGTGGACACCTCTGAGAGGTCATTTCTTGCCCTCTTGTAACAGCAGGGTTGCTCAGCAGGTTAAAGGACATAGTCTATATTCTGTGTGTCCATGCAAGCCCTTCCCATGAGCCTCGGAAGCAGCCCAGGGTAGGGGTCCTCACAGAGTTAGACTGCTTTGAGAAGGGCTCTGCACCTTGTGTCCCTCCAGTGAGGGAAGGCGATTTGGCCCAGGGTCCCATGGCAGCTCCAAGAGTGGCCACTGCCCACCTAGCTCCATGACTCCGGGGAGGGGTGGCACCCTGCCTGGAGCACCCAGGGTGGACATGCGTGGGGACACGTGTCTTCCTGAACAGATCCTGCAGCTTCTCAAAGGCAAGCTGGTGGTGGGCCACGACCTGAAGCATGACTTCAATGCACTGAAGGAGGACATGAACAACTACACCGTCTACGACACCTCCACAGACATGGTGCTGAGTCATGAGGCCAAGGTGGGCCATTACAGACGGGTGTCCCTGCGGGTGCTGAGCGAGCGGCTGCTAAACAAGCGCATCCAGGTGAGGACCCCTCCCCCTCCACCCCCCCTGCCTCCATTACCCTCCCATCTCTCTCTTTTCCCTCCTCCCCCTCAAATGAAGAGTAGCCCACTCTTGCTCTTCCGGCTTTCTCTCCTCCTCCAAACAAGGAGTCCTCTTCCTACTTTCTCCTTAGTCTTCTCTTTCCTAAAAGTGAGGCTCCTCCTCCTTTTCTTTCCCACTCCCTCACCCCTCCAGGTAAGGAGTCTCTCTGCAGCCTGCTGGGCCTGGGCCTATCTTCCAGGACTCTCCACCACTACCTCAGGAGCTCTAGTGCAGACATGCAACCCCAAGATTCTTCCCTCCACCCCTGAGAGGCTGTATGTTTGTGTGTGAGGTGTCTTTGGCTTCAGGAGACCGGAGTCAAGGAAGGGAATACAGAAAACCTCTTTGTGAGGTGATCCCAGGAGCACTGGCAGGGAAGGAGAGGGGAAAGCCCCTGGTAAAGGGTTCTTGACTTAAATCATGTGAACCATGGGTCTTATACCACTGCAACCCCAGGGGAATGGTCGAAAGCCTGCACCTCCAATGTGCCATAGTGGGACCTGAGAGCTGGGGTCCCTATGTGCCGGGGACCAGCCTCAGCAGAAAAGTGGGGCTCGAATCTGGGATGTCTGGAAGGCGAAATGAGTATACAAACACAGGATTCTGATGCAGGGGACAGGCTATCTGCTGTGAGGCAACAATAACTTCCTCCTCCTCCTCCTCCTCCTCCTCTTCCTCCTCCTCCTCCTCCTCCTCCTCCTCCTCCTCCTCCTCCTCCTCCTTCTTCTTTTACCCTGGGTTTCAAACCTCAGTCTTTTATTGTAAGGTTTACACAAGGAAAATGATTCTTTTTTTTTTTTCTTGCCACAGGTTAATCATTACCTGGGCAAAGCAGTTCACAGGAAGTATAAAGATTCTTTGAAATCAGAACATCATCATTCATTATGACACTTCCCCAGTTCCCAAGCCACATGCAAGCCACTATATTCTCACTTCTTGGCTGAGTTAATCATAAAACAACTTCTGAGGCTTCCACCTCCCTGGCTAACTACTTGCAGTTACAGAAGCATAGTTCAGTGGGTTTTACTCCATTGTCGTACCTTTCCCATTGTTGTTCCTCACGATTCCAATTTTGATTTATAAGGCCATAGGCAGTCAGCCCTAAAGCCCTAGGTTCCTCAGAAACTTTATTCATCATAGCCAAGTTCTTTTCCATTTCAGTATAATTTTTTTTTAAATATTTATTTATTATGTATACAATATTCTGTCTGTGTGTATGTCTGCAAGCCAGAAGATGGCACCAGACCCCATTACAGATGGTTATGAGCCACCATGTGGTTGCTGAGAATTGAACTCAGAACCTTTGGAAGAGCAGGCAATGCTCTTAACCGCTGAGCCATCTCTCCAGCCCCTTCAGTATAATTCTTTTGCCAAGTTTTATAATCAGGTGAAGAACAATTTCTGTATTTTCCCCAATTCTTTCATCAGTTAGGGTTTTTTCCCATGACCTGCTTTACAGCTCAATGCCTGCCCGCTCTATCAGATCAGGAAGACTCATATTATCATATAGCACATCGATATTTTCAGAAGCCACTGGTGTGGAAGGAGAAAAAGAACACGAAGAACAAGCACACTAGTAGAATTGGTTTAACCAGAATCATCTGTAACATTGCCAAGTGCATATGCAGACACCATAGAAGCGGTCCTTGGGGCGTAGGAGTTTCCTCCCTGGCCCTCAAGTAATGTGCTCATTTAGCTGCCGCTGGGCTGCCTGGAGGGAATTGCTTCCTGCATCTCAGGAACCTGCATGTGGAGGGGGCCAGCCCAGGCACCTATGCACCAGTTCCTGTCATATGTTCCATGTTGCTCCAAGGTGCTGCCTCCTCAGTATGTGGGGGTGGGACTCACCCTTCTCCAAGTGAGAAGAGCTGTAGGTAGGGGGCCCACCTTAAGAGCCAAACACTACATAGGGAACACAGGGACCCTCCTGGTCAACAATTTTGTTTCGTTTTTTTGAGACAAGGCTTCTCTGTGTAGCCCTGGCTGTCCTGGAACTCTGAGATCAGACTGACCTCAGACCCAGAAGTCTGCCTGCCTCTGCCTTGAGAGTGCTGGGAATAAAGGCGTGTGCCACCAGTGCTCAGTTGGGAGGCTTTGTTTGTTGGTTGTTTTTGTTTTTTTAATGTTTCAGCATTGGGGAGCAGACCCAGGGACTTGACCACAACAAGCTGAACAAGCATCAGCCTTTGTTTTCTTTTTTCTTTTTCTTCTTCTTTTTTTTTTTTTTATTTTTTATTTTTCAAGACAGGGTTTCTCCGTAGCTTTTGGTTCCTGTCCTGGCACTAGCTCTTGTAGACCAGGCTGGCCTCGAACTCACAGAGATCCGCCTGCCTCTGCCTCCCGAGTGCTGGGATTAAAGGCGTGCGCCACCACCACCTGGCTAGCCTTTGTTTTCTTAAAGCAGGGTCTGGCAGTGCAGCCTATATTCCCAACTCTGACTCCGCCTTGTAAATGCTGGCATTGTAGGTATATGAGCAGTTTCAATAGCGCTTCACAGAGTGCCTACTCTGTGTTAGATGCTAAAAGTGAAGGTGCCATGCCCCTGCCTGGGAGAAGCTCTCGGCTGAATGGGAGGCAGCGCAGGAGCAGGCATTGTTGGGGAGAGATAGTTCAGTGGGTAGAACGCTTTCCTAGCACACACCACAGAGACCAAGCATGGTGCACACCTGCTAGCCCAGGAAGGCCAGAAGTCCAAGGTCTTCCTCAGCTTCATAGTAAGTTGGAGGCTAACCTGGAATACAGGAGCCAGAAGGGCAGTGTCCTAGGGATGGGAAGAATGGTGGTCTGCCCCCTAGGAGAGCAAATCCCAGTATGGTTTTCAGGGCCAGAGTCACAGCCTTCAGAAGAGAGAGAGGAGTCAGTGGGAGAGAGGGAGGAGCCAGTCAGAGAGAGGGAGGAGCCAGCCAGAGAGAAGGAGGAGTCAGTTGGAGAGGGTCCATGAGCCAGCGCCTGTAGGGTGTGAATGACTTGTCTTGAGTGGCTGATGGTATGGACCCCCACCCCACACCTCTGCTAATTGTTTTGGAGGCAGGAGTGGGCCTGAATCTGGCTGGCCTCAGTCAGTCCCCTGACCCACGAGAATGGTCTGGCTTTTCTTATACCCTGGCGTGCAGTGATCTTCTATGTCTGCACCAGGAGCCGGTGTCTTCACAGCTGCTCTTCTGCTACCCTCTGTGGCTCTCAGCTCAGGCCTTGTCCTGGGGATCTTGAGCCTGCTCTGCAGAACTGTTAGGCTCCATTCCTCAACCTTGGTTATTCCAGGGACTCTGTTTACCCTCCTCACTGGCCCCTACCTGCACTGATGTCCTTAGAACCCGGCTTCTGGCTCCTGACTGAGGACTTTGCTGATTACCTCAACAGGAGCCATAGTTGTCACAGTCAGAGGTGCTGATCCCTCCCCTTATGGGCATGAACCCCACAGGGAAGGAAAGTTCCTGGTGTACTTAGCCCTTGGGCCTGCTGGGAACTGATAATACTTTGATTCCTTATAAGGCAGGTGTGTCCAGGTCATTTTACCTAAGAGGAAAGAGGCAAGAAAAAAAAATGCCCAAGGCCATGAGGTCCTGGGAGGGAGCTATAACTGGGACTAAGGCCACTGGCTACCACCGCCACAATAGTGAAGCAGTGTCCTCAGTTTCCTCACCTGTCAGCGAGGGTGGTGGTGGCACCTAGGACAGTAGCACTTGGGATGTAGGCGTCACCAGGGACACCTGCTTATTAATAACATAGAACAGAGCCGGGCGGTGGTGGCGCACGCCTTTAATCCCAGCACTCGGGAGGCAGAGGCAGGTGGATCTCTGTGAGGCCAGCCTGGTCTACAAGAGCTAGTGCCAGGACAGGCTCCAAAGCTACAGAGAAACCCTGTCTCGAAAAACTAAAAGTAAATAAATAAAATTAAAAAAAATTAAATTAAATTAAAAAAATAACATAGAACAGGATGTGGCAGCCTGTCTGAGCTGGGTCTCCCCGCAGACGTCTGTAGCACCCAGTGTGAAGAGTAAAGGAGCCCTTGGAAAGGCAGGCTGCCCTAGCAGAAGGACATAGGGGAAACAGCCAAGCCCCCTCATCGGGTTGCAGATAAGACTTGAGGCCAGGAGGTGAGCAGGGAGTTGGCATGGCTCTTGGATGTAAGCCCCCACTATCTAATGTTTGTTGTGTTGAGCCTCAGTTGCCCATCCAGTAAAATTGGGGATAGCCAGATCTAGCTCCTGGGGTTTGGGACGGTTCCATGGGCCAAGGGATTAGCACCGAGGTGACCGATGGCAGTCATTTCTTCTTAAACAGAAAGTCTAGAACCCGGTTCTTCCCCATACTCTGGCCCCCTCTTCAAAGAGCTTCTGGTGTCCTTCTCTGTCTCTCAAGTACTCTCAGCCTCTCAGGGGACTGGGCCAGGCACCGATGTCCACCCAGCCTACCCTCTATGTAGGAGATGGATGGATGGAATTTGCTGGTCTTCACTTGGTCACGCCCTTTCTCTCTCTGAGCGCCTTTGCTCCGCCCCACCCCGCTCACCCTTCACTGGAGTTCCCTGCCTCTCCTTGTAAGCTGCCCTATTCAGCTCCAGCCACCGCTGATTCCTGCTCAAATCCAAGTCAGAGACCTCACGGACACTCTGCCTACTGACCCACTCCAGGACTGGGGAGGCCAGGGTGTCTCCAGACGCAGCTCCCTTACCTCTAGCTTTCCCTTGTGTCTACAGAACCACTGGCTGGGTCACAGCTCTGTGGAAGACGCCAGGGCCACGATGGAGCTCTACAAAATCTCTCAGCGACTCAGAGCCAGAGGCCAGCCAGGACTGTCCCACCTGGGGGCATCACACTGAAGGTCATCCTCTTCCAGGGACCAGAAGCTTCCACTCCTTAAGGACAGTAGTTTTCCACAGATGAGACCCATTTCTAATAGCAAAAGCAAAGACAAGAACACTCCTCCTTGACAGGGTTTCTCTTGCTTTTGGGGAAAAAACAAACAAACAAAAAAAACAAAAAAAAAAAAAAACAAAAAACAGAACAAACAAATACAAAAAAAAACCTTTAGTAATAAATCACACTGTATTTTATCTAATCAACCATTGGAACTTGTCTTTTGTCTTCCTTGGTGACAGAATGAAGATTTATGCCCAGGAAGTTAGCAAGTGCCTCTCCCTCCACCCCTTTCTCCTCCACTCCCCCCACCTTTTTCACTCTTCCCCTTTCCCTCCCCTTACTTCTCCCAGATCTATTTATTACTTTGCACATTGCAAAGAGAACACTGGGCAGGCAGTAATAGGAAAACTTGCTTTTTAATTCTTCTTGAGCCCAGGCCCACCTTGAGCTCGTGACTGTCCCGGCTCAGCCTACTGAGCGCGAGCATTATAGGAGTGTAGTACCGCAGCCAGTTTAGATACTACATTGAGACCTTTGCTGATGCTTTCTTTCATACTCTTTAGGAGACTGAAGCTAGGCTCTCCTCTATGTTAGGCAAGTACTCTACCATTGAGCCACATCCCCAGCCCTCCTCCTCCCTCTCTCAACCTTTTGCCATTAATTACTCTTATTTTTGAATTCTAAACCTTATTATAAAAAAGTTGCAAGAAAAAAAAACACGCACCAAAATTCAATTCCAAGACTGTACAACTCAACGACCATCTGTAGACAATTGGGACGAAAGCAGTGGAGTGTCAATTTGATTTTATGCTTTCACAATGTATTTTTAGGCACTGTCCGTCACCAAAACAACAAAAAACATCCATGACAGAGTGAGAACTAGAAGGAACAGTTCACTTTATATCATCCTTTTCCTGACGTGTTGATGCTGGTACTTCCGCATTCTATCACATAGCCCCTTCTCTTCTCTCTCTCTCCCCTTTCCTTTCCCCTCCCTTTCTCCTCACTGCTCCCTCCCTCCCCACTCCCCTCACCCCACCATGTGTATGAATGCAGGCCACTGTGGCCCACGTGTGGGGGTCAGAGACCAACCCTTGGGAGTTAGTTCTCTCCTCCTACCACGTGGGTCCCACGGATCAAGCTCAGGTCATGAAGCTTAGTGACCAGTGCCTTTACCTCCTCCTCCCTGTCTCCCTTCCTCCCTATTTTTAGTACTGAGGAGTAAACCCAGGGTCTTGCACATGCTAGGTACTTTTATCACTGAGCTACACGCCCCTCCTTTTTTTTTTTTTTTTTAACTTTGGAAAGGGTCCTCACTAAGTTGCCCTTAAACTTGCAATCCCAATGCCTCGCCCTGGCTACTTAGTATGATTATAGGCCTATGCCCCTGGCCTTTCTCGGGAACTTCAATCCTGTGCATCCAAGGAAACCACTTTGGAATCTGAGTAACATACGTTTTAAGGCCTTTCTCTTCTTGTTGAATTTACATCAAGGGGCACTGTTTCCTAGGCTTCCTGTTCGGGTGTCAACCCACCCCATCTTGAGACTGGCGCTTTGAAGCAGAGGCCTTGAAAATGTCTTGGAGCCGCCACTGCCCTCCCTTCTTTTTTTTTTTTCTCTCGAGACAGGGTTTCTCTGTAGCTTTGGAGCCTGACCTGGAACTAGCTTTTGTAGATCAGGCTGGCCTCGAACTCACAAAGATCCTCCTGCCTCTGCCTCCCAAGTGCTGGGATTAAAGGCGTACGCCACCACCACTGGCTTCTCCCTTCTTTGTAAAATGAGAAAGCCTAGAGTCCAAGGGAACTAGGCCAGGAGGCTAGCTTTGCCCTTTAGGAGCTGTGTAGCCACCAGCAAGCTCCTTTCTTAAGCCACAGCGTCTCTGCCAGTGACATGGAAGTCCTAACGTGACATCAGGTATTTATGTGCAGAGCACTCCCTGACCAGCAGGGAAGGACGACCACGAGTCGAGGATTCTTCTGCAAATCACGCTTTATTGGAGCCTCTTGGCTGAAGGGAGAGCACGGAGGCGAGGGGCAGAGCGCCAAGCACCGGCTGCTTTTATAGGGGGTAAGGAAACAAGTCGTGCCTGATTGGCTGATGCGCGCCTGCCGATGCTCCTGGCCACGGGATTGGCCCTAAGCACATCATCACCACTGCGCATGCGAGAGGCACAGTTCCACTGCATTGCCTAATATGGAATTGTTTACCAAGCGAGGCCGGGCCAAGCGCCATCTTGTAATGGCGGCCGCTCGAATCGGCTCCCAGCATTTATGAGGTGTTGTCTGCAGACTGTGAGCACCGCTCCTGTCTTCTCTAACAGGCCAAGGGTCAGTAACTGTCATCATCATTTCTTGGGCTGCTGCCAGAATCTGCATCCCAACTCCCATCTCTAGCCCTTGTGATTTCCAGCGCAAGAATTCAGACATGAGCCACAGAGCAGCGTAGAAAACAGGATTTTATTGCAAAGTAGGTGCCAGTAACAGGGAGAGCAGACGATGGCCAAAGAGACCAGCGTCTGGACCTACGCACCGGGCAGGCTTTATAGTATGTCTATTATCCCCAGCATTCCTTTTAGGCCTTTGTTCTGCTCCATGATGGGAGATCTCTTTGGACTGGGTCTCTCTGACTTGCAGGAGGAGGCTCAATGCTGTGTCGCGTGTGGCGGGATGATGCGTTTTTTGTTCTTTACTAGGCTTCCCTTTTCCCGTGAACTCCAAGACTCCATAGAGCCCATTTCAAGTAGTTACCTCAGGCTGTCCAGGGAGTCACGTTAGCCTAGGAGGTCACTTTTCTTCCCTCAGCAAGAAATGATTCCGGTCCCAACCTTGTGACCCTCACTACCCAGCAGTCCCTGTCCTTTGTGTTCTAGACTTTCGACTAGGAGGGAGGGTCCAGCTCCTAAGTTCTCCAAGTCTGCTGATGTCTACCTACCTGAGTGGGGCTTTAAACCCAGATCAGCAGACTGGGAAGCTGTCAGTACCTGATCCGTACTGAGTGTGAGCACACTGTACTCAAGTCCTGGGGTTCCTCAGGAAGCACCTCCTGGCTTCTAATGGCAGAAGATCAGCCTCGCACACGGAAGCTGAAAAACCAAAGACGCCTCAGTCGGACTACAAATGCTGGGTCCTGTTCTAGTGGATCTGCCGCGGGACACTGGCACGGATGAGAACGGCCATCTGCATCTGATTCTAACAGGCAGGGACCTTGTCACACACTCAACTTGCCTCCCAGGCAACGGGAGCCTCCCTGAGAGGCGTGACCGGCTTTGAGAAATGCTGTTTGAGAGACAGGTGAGTGCTATATGCAGCCAGAGTTGACAGGTGGCCTCGGCAAGGGAGGACTTGGTCACCCACCCAGCTTTTTCTCCCGGGACAGCTGATACAGAGGGAGGTCCGAGGCCCTGCACATTGGCTAGCCCTGCTTCACAGACGAGAGGTTCACGGTAAGAGGGCTGAGGATGTGGCTAATTTGTTAGGGTGAGCACCTGGCAATCACAAAGCCCCGTGATTCGTTTCCCCAGCACCTTGTAAACCAGGCGTGGTGATGTACACCTGGGATAGCAAGGGGAGGCTGAGGCAGGAAGAATAGAAGTTCAAGGTCGTCACTGGCTATACAGCCAATTTGAGACTAGTTTAGCTCACTTGAGATCCTGTCTCAAGCAACACAGCACACAACATGATACAGCAGGTAAGGTTGGGATCTGAGGGATTCTGGTCTGGTTCTACCTCCCGACAAAACTGAGGTGCTTTACAGTGGTAATGCCTGCCATCTATGCTACTGAACTCCAGGCACTTGGGGACTCCCCCTCAGGAGGGGAAAGTGTAGCTCTCATTCCCTGTGTGCTCCCCCAGGCCTCACACCCCTCCCCTCCCTCCACCTTGCTGGTCTGTTGTTTTCTATGAATCTGGGAAATCCGTGGTTGCATTTGCCCTAGCGGGCTGCCACTAACCACTAGGTGGCGGTCGTGGACTATCAGCAAGGCACACAGCTGAGCTGCTTTTAAAAATTTGGGCACTGATCAGGTACCGCTGGATAGTCGTTAGTCTCTTTTTTTTTTTTTTTTAAACCGAACTTGCCTCAAGTTTATTTGTAAAAACAGCATAAGGTCCTGAACATCTGCAAATACCGTATAGATATTCACACCAGTCCATCTGTCTTCACGTTGGCAGACTGAGACCTTTTTTTATGGGGCTTTCACAGGGGCCTGGGCACCTTTGGGAGCCTGAGCTGCAGCTGAGGCCTCTGCCTTGGCTTGAACCTTGGGCTTTGTTTTTTGGAGCCTACGACCTCTGGCCATGTAGCTTCTAATCCGCTTCCCAAGCCTGGAGTGAGCAATGAAAGCAAGAGAGGTGAGTTTGCGGCTGGGGCCCTTTGGCACCTTGGGCTTCACCACCTGGGGCTTCACCAGGGTCTTGATGGCCTCCGCACTTGCGCTCATGGCCTTTGCATTATTTGCCTGCATCTTCTTCAGGCCTTTCTTGTTGTGCTTCTTGGCAAAGCGCATGTTCCTCAGGAACTTGGGGTCGACCCCCTTGAGAGATTCATATCTTTGTGACCTGGGTTTCTTGATGCCATTTCTGTGCCATTTCCGGGACTGGTTGTGTGTGGTGTGGTTCTTGGACTTGGCCATAGCTGGACGGTAATCGGCGGCTCCCGAAGCGCCTGCGACCGGAAGAGAAAGCTAGTCACTAGTCTTAATCTCAGAAGGGGGCCGAGATATGACCCAGGTCCAAGGAGGCTGGCTCCAGGCTCTCTAAATCACAACCCACCTTTCTTTCTGTGGCTTCCAGTTCTTTTGAAAGGCAGGACAAACCTAGATTCTTTTTTGTTGTTGTTGTTTTGTTTTATTTTGATTTGGTTTTTCGAGAAAGGGTTTCTCTGTAGCTTTGGAGTCTGTCCTGGAACTAGCTCTGTAGACCAGGCTGGCCTTGAACTCACAGAGATCCACCTACCACTGCCTCCCAAATGCTGGGATTAAAAGCGTGTGCCACCACTGCTCCACTCAAACCTAGATTCTTAAAGGAACTCTAACTGGACTTCCTGCTTCAGGCTGGCCTGCTTGGATGCCTGGGAGGGAGCCTAGCTGTTTCCCAGGGATACAAAGCCTACGGGAAGAGCCTGCATCTTACAAGACACTTGCTCCTTGCTCCCAGCTGTCCTAGAGGGGACCCTGGGGATAAGACCCAGGAAAGAGAAGGATTCA